AAATTTATACAATGCTATGAGACTGTCCAAATAATTACAAACTACAATACTGAAGTTACTACTGTTAAAAATCTGTTGTCTGAGCGCAGATTTAAATCTCTTCGACCATGGCTAGAGATTTTAGTTTCATTCACAGCATATGGGATATGTGAGTATGATGGACCTAACAAGTTTGAAGGGTTTTTGGACACGTAGTGGACATAGCGATCGTTTCAATATTATGTTGATGTTGTTCTTAGTGTCCTTGTTCTTTGACACGTTTTGAAGAAATCGCTTTTCTCTTCGAATACTGGACCAATTGCTTTGAAATTTTCAGTGGTTGAAGACAAAATTTTTCTCCAGAAGGCTATTACTTTTATTCATTTTAAATATTTCTGTTAGCTCTGTGAGATTTGTTTTTGTTTGCTATGACGTCATTAAACGTTCTGCGGACACTGGACGCCATTTTGTGTCCTACTGTACTGCTTCGCTTGGTGTGAATATATTTGTAGACTGTGATCTGACGGTACGGTAAACCGTACTGTACTGCGAACAGACGTGTCCATATATTTGGGCGTAGCTCTCTTGTTAAAATTAACGAGGCAGCCGCTCGCCCTTGTCTACATGAAAGAAAGATCTATTTTAGATTTTTGATTAAATTACATGAAAAAGTTCGAATTTGGTATATATTCAATTCGTCGTCAACTCATTTCTCACAAAAGACACAATTGTACTTAAAGTACTTATTGATGGAATTCGCAAACACTTCATTAAACAATGTCAAGTCATTTTCCAAAATGAATTCAACCACAGTTTACATTTACTGGAACTGGAAGTCAGATGCTCACACATCTGCACATCACACACCAGTATGATCAATTTGAATCCAATAAATGGGTAGCCTGTCGCGGAGCTGAATAGGGAAGGCACCGTAAGTTTTGTTTTAGAAGGCCTGCGACAGATTATAATCGGACACATTGTCACACATTTTTATGGCTACGGCGTTCTGAAATAGTAATGCTTTTATATTTTTAATCGACACTACAGTAGGTTACATTGAACACAATTAAATAACGCAAGAAATTTTAAATATGCCCGTATTGGTCATGGATTGAATTTTTCGCTAAATTGCGAATTGATAGTATGCGTTGATATATGTATTGTTCGGGTTGCCAATATTTTATGTCCGGATATAAAAGAGGCGTTTGCAGAAATAGGCATGTCAAGACAGACGGTCCTCGCCGTGTTGAGGAGCAAAAGCGGGAAAGTTTTCATCGTATTTGATTTATTTATACACCACATCATCTTCAAATAGTGTTGTCGCTGGATAGTCAACCAAGTCTCTGATGCAATTTGTACATGCAAGGCAGGGTTGTATATTGTGTTGTATAGAATAATAAAAAAACACCAAATATATGCTTCTAGGCACATCAAACAAAAGCAATGCAGCGTCAAAATAATAGAATTAGATTCATTTCACAATTTCATTCAAGGACATAATGTACAGATAACTTGGTAAATAACAAATAATGATCGATGTGTTTGCAAAATGAAAGCGTTGGTGTTGTATTGCACTGTTTACCTATTCTTTTGCACTAGTGTGGGACGAGAACAATGCAAAAATAATTTTGTGGGCTCATATCGTCACTGATGTCGTGCGCTTCGTACTTACTTATCTATGATAGCGCTTTTCGATGCTTTCTGCTTAAGGGCACGAGAAATCTAATGCTTCTTGGAATTGAGGCTAAATATTTGCACGAACGACACCTTATTTATAATCCAATAATTAAATTTAATCCCTGTTTTATCAACAAGTAAGTGATAGAAACTACACATCAGTGAATATTAAATTAGGGTGTGATTGAATATCACCAAGTGATAAATTTGTTTTGAACGACCTGAATATGGCGCTTAGACGTCATTGTGACACAACAAATCAACAATGGCTATTTCTAAGCCTACACTACAATGATCATTTTCTATAACTGTTCGATTTTGGCTTCCTCTTTACAAAGTTCTGATTACGCTTCTTGATCTAACCGTTCAATACGATGTGATTCGACGAGAACTTGCGGATAGCGTAGGGGTTCGACTGGCTCGTAAAAGTTAAACACCACTGCTCTAAATAGTTGTCAAAAAATGCGAGAAAATTTCCTTGAATGATAAATTTAATATATATATTTTCTTTGCATATAGCGATTCAGCCGATCTGTTCAAGGATTGGAAAAAATCTAACATACTTGTCGAAATCTTTTTTTGGTGTGTCAGCGTGTTACTAATATCGATATCGACAATCCAAACACTCCTTACAGGTTACTTGGTATTTCTATAACCAAATGATATATATCTGTTATGTAACAGAAACGATACAAAAACCGCTACGGAGATCAACATTTGGTGTTTAAAATGCCCAAACGCAGCAAATTCAATCAGGCAAAGTATAAAGAGCTCTAATTTTAGACACGAAATCTCGCATTCCCTCAACTTCTATCGATGCATTTCCCTGGGACAGGGGTGGGCAACCCCTGGCACGCGTGCCAAACTTGGCACGCAAGCCTATTTATTCGGCACGCGAGCGAGGAGGCCTCAGAAACGAGATCATTCTCCCTTAGATAAAAAGTTTCAAGACTCTGAATTATCTGATGAAACTAGGTGTTCGTTTATTTATTATCGTTAGTTAACAATTCGTTATTTATTTTAACTCTTTTTGTCCTTTGTAGCTTATGGCTACAAAGAAATATATTATGACATAACAAATGAGTGAGCTCACTATAAGTTTTGTCCAGAAGAGCACAGCATTCATTTGGCTACATTGCGCAATATAGTTCGTCTGTGTCACCCTATTTCTCATTTCTGCTTGATTTATTAAGTTGTTTAGCTCTTGTTGGTTAGAGTTACTTGCTAACTTACTGTTATAAATTGATTTCGAAAGAAATATAAGCGATTGGGGAAGGGAATACGAGAGAGAAGTGCAGAAAACGAACTATTGCGTAATTGGGATGCCATTCCTAAAAATTTTCTGTGTCTCAAAAACTTTGCAACTGCATTACTCTCCATGTTTTCGTTAACATATGCTTGTGAATCTCTGTTCGCAGTTATGAAATTTATCAAGTCTCGTAACAGGTGAAAGATGAATCAGTAGTTCATGTATTTTCTTACAAAATATAAACCCAATGTAACTATCAGCGGTAATACAGCAGCAGAAGTCTCACTAATATAGAATAAGAAAGTAATCAAATCTATTTGACGGGCTGAAATTTTCCAGAATAGGAAATCTGTCTGTACATGTTTAAAAGGTTTATTATTGTGTATTTTTTCTTTGAAAGTTGCAAAGCATTGTTTTCAATTTTGGTCGGCACGCGGGAGAATTTTGTCGTTAAATTTAGCCAATTTTGGCACGCGAGCCGAAAAAGGTTGCCCACCCCTGACCTAGGGTGATCATACGTCCTCCTTTTGGAGGATTTGTCTAAAAGTATACTCAGTTACATATTTACTTACATACAATTATGTTTGCAAATAATACCGGGTGCGATTGTTTGTTCTAAAATTGACCTTCAAAATTCATCCAAATGATAAACGCTAGTTAGTAACGTATGCGCCATGATTGTAAAAGAAGCAATGATAACGAGGGAAGCATCGCAGACATGTTTTCAATAAGGTATAAAGCAATGATGTATGTAGATAATTTAATGAAACGTTTCAAATATTTGTGAAACTTTGTAACATTTTGAGTAGGCCCTAGTCGATTAAAATTGAGCGAAAGCTGCTACCAATATGAAATATAACGACTCTGGAGTGTCGCGGCTGGCTTTGGAAAGCTGTAAGGATAATAATAAACACTTTTGGTCGAGATAAAGGCGACGCCACTGTAGCGTGCATTGCCTTGTGTTATCTATTAATTTTTTTTTTAAAAAGAATCAAGCCACTTTTTGTTAAATTGCTTCGATTCGAAATTCTAAAACTTACATCCCTAGATATGACAAGCAATGCATTGCGTTATGTTAACATGCGGGGTTACTCTAGGTTAAATGCATGCTTGATCTGCACAATCGTTTATGACGTAAAAATCGCATTTGTTGTGCAATTCTATTTTACGTCACTTCACTTTGTATGCCTAATCCCGTGAAGTTTCGATTGTGGCAGATCCTTGCGCCTGAAAACCCAGTAAATTATGCCAAAAAGGAAAACTTTTTTCACTCAGGAACTAAAGCAAAAGTACCCATGCTTTAGAAAAGGTCGAACTGACAGCGAAGCGGAGTGCATTTCTTGTGGTTACGGTACTTTCATTTCTGTGGCGAATAAAGGCAAACTCAGCTCACAGTTGCACGTTGAGAGTTCCAAGCAATTTAGCAGTTCACTCAGGAACTAAAGCAAAAGTACCCATGCTTTAGAAAAGGTCGAACTGACAGCGAAGCGGAGTGCATTTCTTGTGGCTACGGTACTTTCATTTCTGTGGCGAATAATAGCAAACTCAGTTTACAGTTGCACGTTGAGAGTTCCAACCGACTACTTTTGTGAGCCTGGGACTCAAATCGAAGAAAATGTCGCAGTCGCCAACGCTACAATGGCGTTTCACTGTGTGAAACATCACCAGAGTTACAGATTTCGTCAGAGTACGTCAAATCTAATGAAGAAGATTTTTCCAGATTCAAATACCGGTATTTCAAAAAAATATTCTTGTGCTCGAACGAAAGTTGAAGCTATTGTGAATAATATTCTAGCCCCGATGACTGTTCAACCGGTTCAACATGCCTCAAATAATATTCAACAACATGATATTTTGTATCTCGGAGTAGCGACAGACGACAGTAATCATAGGGCTACAAAACTTTTTCTGATAGATGTACAATCTTATGACTGGAAAAATGGTGGGTTGCAGTCTAATTTGCTTGAAGTTAAAAGTACCACGAATGAGAAATCTTCAACAATTCTGTAATTCTGACGCATTCATGCGTGACCAACTGTTACCAGGCGACGAAAACTGCAGGTATACGCGTTAACGGATGCTACTGATATATTGTATTATTTTTGTCTACTGCTCGACGTACCAGTGCAAGATGCCCATATATTGTATTGCTTTTGGATGCAGGAACAAAGCGAATATCAATAGGGATATTGGATATTTCAGGTTCCCGAACAGGAAGTGTGAAAGTGAACGGCGACAAAGGTGGACAGCACATGTCGCAGAAATAACAGCGATGGGACGCCGTGGAATCCAACGGTCCCAAATGTTTACATTTGCGGTAAGCACTTTATCAGTGCACTTTATCAGTATTCATGTGTTTGCCGATAGTTTTTTTTTATTTCTGAAATTTCTCAATTCCTGATATGTAATTAAATCATTATAATGCCCTTCATTTTTTTTTCCTGACTTACACTTATGCACTGTACCATTGCACTTCTTTATTGGTGAAATAAACTGAAATATTTAAAGTATCTGAGTTGCTGTCATGTCCAAAAAATTGCAAGAAAATTTATTTTTCAGGCAAACCAGTTAGAGATACCTGCCATCCAGACTATATTCCGTCAATTTTTGTATATTCGGCCGCCTCAAGTAAATCCAATTTAAAAACACTTTCCAGATACAGCAGCGCAAAAGATAGAAGTGCACATAAGGAAATGAAACGTCATAAAATAGAACCATTCATTAAAAATCCAGAACCAGTCGATACTGCAGCTTCATCTTATAGTGAGCCAAATGCAACCGCCAAAGAAAATCAATTGGAGTTACTCGAGGAGAAAAATTTACGAATGAAATTAAATAAACTTTGACCAAAATGAACCTGTTTGAGAAATGTGTTTCATTTACTGCCGATAACTGTAATACTAACTTTGGCGGATTGGCTTTTAGAAAGGGCAATAACGTATTTTCTCGATTGCCAATCGACCCGCTCAGTTGTACCCTGCCTTGCAATCATATTTTCGGTCTATTCAAAAGCCACCTGTTGCTCTAAAAAGATTTTATGAAAATCCTGTGAGTGAGTTGTATTTAAAACATTTGCAATCGTTTGTTGCTGTGTTTAATGACCAAATTAGGCATATTGAAAAAAAGCCTTAATTATTGAAATCCAAGCTTGTCTTAACACTGTTGAATCTACGATTTAAGAAAGAAAAAAACACATGTTCATACAAATCCAAATTAAATCTGAATTGCGTAGACTCAGAGACGAAGGAAATGGCCGTGAATGTGATGTATTTCTCTCAGATGTGGCTTTGTTGTACGAGTCATGCGTACAATACCTAGAAAAATGGACAGCTTCTTTTGAGGAATTCAATGCTTTGACTGGATGCTTCTGATCCAAAACACCGAGTGGAGAATTGTTGAACCGTGCGTTGAGTATCTACCTGCGAATGTTTCGATTGATGAAGCCAAGTTATTCGACCAATACCAAAACTTATGCATGTTCGTAGAAAAGCAACTTCAATTCAGTTTCCTACTGTAAGCTCATGGCACATGAAAGATGGACAGAATATTTCAAATCCTGCAGCACCAGCGACTCTTACAGCGAACTGATAAAGATCGCACAATATTACTTCAGCATTATTGCGCAGAACGCCAACGTTGAGCGCATTTCTCTTTAATGCAACCACAATGGTCGAAAGAACGCGAAAACTCCCTATTTGAGTCTGTTGCTAGCATAATAACTTTAAATTTGAGTTGGGTTGCGCGAGACTAACTTCCTATCTTTTCTCTATGCCTTAATGCTAGTGGATCCGTATGCGTATACTGCAAGGATATTGTAGCAGGAATAAACATGACTATTCTATCCAATTAAAGAGTCCAGCTGCACACTAACACAAATGTATTTCTGTAACGTTTCGTCCGAGCAGAGTCAGACTTTCTCAGACAAGCAGTCTACAACAATTTGTAAACTGCTTGTCTGAGAAAGTCTGATTCTGGTCGGACGAAACGTTACAGAAATACATTTGTGTTAGTGTGCAGCTGGACTCTTTAATTGAATATAATAACTTTAGTTTACAATTTTAAAACGACATTTCTTGCATCCAGTTTTACGATATTGCAAAAAATAACCCAGCAATGTTGACGAGGATTAGAGGAACTTCTAAATACTCGTGGTCTAAGGAAAAATAAATCGATTATTCCGCAGATGTTTTTTTTAATAAAGACAAAAATGCATTAACTCATTGTCGTCACATCGTCTAATTTTTTATCCTAGAGAATTTAGTAGATATATAATGTATATCTCGGACACAGGTGAGATGTGGTTCTACCGAACAATATGTCCTCCTTTCAGGGATTGGAAATATGGTCACCTTCAATTACCTCATCTTCTCCTCTGCATTAAGCTTCAGTTTGACGTGACAAAAAAATGGGAGAGTGGTGTTCAATGAGAAAGGGGAGAGTGGCGGGAGATCATCATGCTCCTAATATTGTCATACATTTCATTGATTCTAGATTTTTTTTCTCCTTAGACAGCGAAACTTGTTGCATTGTTTGAGGTGCTTTCACTCCAAGTATCAACGTCACACATTCCAATGAATATACAATCAAGGTTTCAGGAGAGTGCTTTTTGGCTTTTGCCAAATACAAAGCAATTTCAAAAGATGCATGTATGGCAGTATTCAATCTTGTCTCGAAGGTGGTGTAGGTTTCATGCGTATGTTAGTCGTTGGTTTCATGATACTGTTTGAAAAGGTTTTCATGCACAAAACACATTGAGGAATATGAAGACCATCCCAAATAAGATACGTGAATCTAATTAATCGTCCTAATGCTAATACTTTCTCTTTTTCGTGACATTCTGTTTTAACAATTTCAGTGTGTTGTATTTGTGACGAAATTTAATGTAGTGGAATAACAATGTAATCGACTCGATAAGTAGGAGTTTATTTTGACTTACTGAATTTCTGTGGGGTTAACTTTTAAAAATTCGTGTTTTGCCAACGAATTCCACTTTATGTGAGCGGTTAACGCCAAAAATCTTCAGGAATTACATAGAATCGATAGAATCAAATTCGCCACACAATATTTCGCGATAACCCACCTTCAAAGATAACCCTTATAACTCAGCCTCCTCCCCTCGGGATAAGTTCTATTTTATACTAACGCAAGGTGTTCGACGGAAGCCACAAAGGTTAGAAATAACCGTGTGTCATGTGTGGTGTATGTACCAAAATAAAACGCCCTACCTTCCGTCGGCGGAATTTATGTCCACTTCTTACTTTCAGCTTTTTAATATTGTTTTTGTTTTCGTCGGAGACGCTACTGCTCGCCTTTTTGTTCCACTCCATCCGTGCCTAAGCTGTTTTGTACTTTCCTCTATAATTTGGTATATTGGTAACAAAGCCCGTATAAAGTTATATAATACCGGCACCGACGCCGTTATCCGAGTGTGGGCATAAACGTGCCATCTTGCCGGTTACGGTTGATTTGGTGTCGGAGTCAATAAATTCGAGAACACGCAGACACGTGCGCGAACGTGAATAACTGGGAGTCTGCAGGGACAAAATAAAAACAGGGTCATTCATCGGGATCAAGGGGCTTATAGTCACTTTGATCTGGATCAGGTAGTAGGCCAGTCTTGCTTTACATTGTCATAATACTGCAATAGGCTGTATTTAATGTTGTGTGTCGACTGATTGAATACGTTAAATTCCGAGACTTACAGACTCGAGGCAGTAAGGTGTGATGCTTGAATATACCGTAATCGTAATGGGCTTTTTTAGAATGAAAAAGCTTAGTACGGTATTGTGCTGTTCATGTATTAGTCTTGCGTAACACTTTTCAGCATCATGGGCAAATTTTTGTAATTAAGACTTCAAAGTATCCCAACTAACGCAATCGATTTGTGGCGCTTGTAAATTTCAAAATTTGGTCACTACAGCACTAACCTACACCGAGCTACATAATTTCGATGTGTGTATTGATATCATTATGACTATCCAAGTAGAATGGAATTTAGTTATAATGATCATAAATGGTATACCCTCATTCAAAAAGCCTAAAACTTTAAAATTCTTCTATTTCTGTATTTGCATCTTCAGGTGATGTCATTTTCGTAGTCTTTTGTTGATTCTGAAATGCTAGGCCGCAAAGCAGTTATTATATTATAAATTCGGTACTTGTTTCAGGGGTTGAGCTTGGGAGATCTCATAATGTTAATCATTAGATGTAGCGAATTCTCATATAGAAGGAATTTCACATTATCTGTCTGTCTGTAGTGAGAAAATCGTTGGATTACTGGATTAGCGATTTCAGATATCATCAAACGAAAATCCAAGTTGATCGCAAACTGGCAAAATTATCATCAAACCCGTGCCCAAAACTGATGTCTTAAAGGCATTATTTATCTTTTTTTTTTTTGGATTATACAAAACTTCAAAAAAGCATTACTCAATAATTTGTTTGTGCTTTTTGCTGACTTCACATATTTGTATAATAAAACAGGAGGGAAGGGTTCTATGTAAATTAAAATTTTAGTTTTGTAATTCTATTCTGTTGATTGTGATGCCAGTTTATATGTAGAATTATTCCACACCCGGTAGAAAGAGTACCAAATGAGGCATGAGGTTTAAAATAAAATATGTCGTAATTATGGCCCTATTTCTGCACCACATTTTGTTAAAATCTATTTTTCAAGTATTGGCTGTGTGTAAGCATGTAAATAACCTTTTCTAAATTAGTTTAACTACTGTTGATTGATGATTATGGTCTTCATGCAATTTAGGTGAATGATTGCCCTCATCTCATTAAACATAACAAATGTTAAAAGTTGTTGAATGAATGTGATTTGGCTTGACTGAACTAAAGTAGAATTTGCATTTTTTTGAATTTGCTCGAGCTGTGGCAAAAGATGATAACTGATCATTCATTTCAAGCACTGCTGAAGAATAGGCTGTACCTGCATTGCCGTTTTTTCTGAAAATGACTATATTTTTGCTTTGCAACAAAAGTACTGGATGAACCATAAACATTTAAACCAAAATTCTGACAGCAGGAATGGCCATAATCGATTATTTTACTACTTCAAATAGATTCTGAAAAAATATTTTTAAATATGAAATATCCAATACATTCTAAATTCTCTCATGTGGGAAATTACATAAATCACTATAAGTTCATGTTTATCACATCTAATACGATAGAAAAATAAAAGGTCATTTTTTTTGTGTTTTTTTTACCAGTTTGATCATGGTATGTTTTGTTCAACTTGTCTGATGGTTCGAAATCCTTAATTTTCAAACAAAAATATTCTAATCTATAGATTTTAATAAATTTTGAATGTATTCGATTCATTTTGAACATCCCTGTCTGAAAGTGTGTGTGCCAATTAGTTTTGATTGACCAGTAGACAAAAGCTGTTCTGTAAAGAAAAGATGGGGAATTATTGTTTTTAGGTAGCAAAATACCCAACGAAGGGTTCTGTCTGTTAAATTAGTGTTTATGTGAACATGGATAATATGATAAAGAGAACTTATCGAAGTTTAATTTCTTGTGATACTAAACAACTTCCCAATATTTGTTTTATTACAGTTTTTATCTACTTTGATCCACAATAGCCAGAAACAGGATATGGAATATCAATGGAATGGTAATGGCCAGGGAATGCATGGTTGCAATTCAACAGGTTATTGGCAACCAAGACCAATGTTTCAATATCAACCAACACGTCATTTTCCTCCCCCTCAACAAATTTGGAATGGCTTTCAAGGAAATCCATGGGAACAACCATATAGACAATTTAATCCGGGACCAATACATCATGTCAGACATCAATTTCCTAATAATCATAAAAATAATAAGAAAAATAAATCCAGGGGACAAAAGGAACAAGTATTTATAGACTTTTGTGATGTTTGTGACAGAGGCTTCAAAACTGAAGCAAAAAAAAATGAACATTTCAGTCAACATATCAAATGTGACGAGCCAGGTTGCAAATTTGAAGCACATTTCAAAATTGTTTTCCATTCATAACAAAATGCACATGGGCCTAATGCTCATAAAATAAAGTTGGATACACCTGAGGAAATAGCAAGATGGAGAATGGAACGTAGAAAAAATTATCCGACAGCGGCAAATGCAGAACTCAAGTTAAAGAAGTCACAAGAACGGCTAATAAATGGGAATGTTCTGAATAACAAAGAATTTGGTAAAATGCGGAAAAGAAAAGGGTGCAACAAATCTTCGGTAGATAAGAATTCCAACTCAACCGAAGCTTTTCAACATGGTAAAGTTGCAAAAACCGAAGATAATGACAAAAGAAAACATACTAATCTTCTGATAAGCAATGGTTCAGATGATTTGAGTGATTCTGATTCTCTCAATGAATCCATGGATACAGAAATGGTCAGTGATTCCAATATGAAGGCAAATCTTTCAGTTGGCCTTGGATCATTGATGCAAAGTTTCGCCAGTGATTCTGATGAGGAGAAACCTGATAGCAAGATTTCAGTGGGGAATGTTGATATGAAAACTGTTTTTCCTAAAAATGAACTTCCAGATGCATCCTTCCACTCAGAGAATAATATACAATCAAACGAATCGACCAAGAAGGGTAAAGTCTCGTCACCTGGCGCAGTCCAAAAGGAAAATAGAGAATATCAATCGCCGAGAAGGAATAGATCGAATGGACAAAATTTCGTGAGAAAAAATATGCCTAAAAACAAAAGAAAAAATTTGTTAGAAATGTTGCTTGCCCCTGATATTAGAAGAGAAAGAAACCATATTTTACAGTGCGTTAGATTTATTGTACAAAATAACTTTTTTGAAAATGATGACCATTCCATCGAAAATTAAATTGAGCTCTCTAATTTGTTATTATTATAAAGCAGTGGCAGTTGCTGGTGTGAGTAAGATATGCAACAGTATACGATAAGATCGAACTTCTTTACTTCTATCAGGAAACTGACGTTACCTTTCAAAACTAGGTGCACCTTTTATTTCAGGTGTGTAGGATGTATTTTTTGATGATCCATATTTAATACAGTTTGTCACAGACAGCAGTGTGAAATACGGGGGCATAGAAATCTCAGAAATGCAAACAAAACCTAATATAAATTGAAATGATTTTGATCCAAACTAGTTTTAATTTGATTTTGTGAGATTTTCACTTCACTGTATATAGTCAAAAGGCAAACTTTATGCATAAACCAAGAATATGCCAGCTACTGTGTCTTGAACCATGACATTATAGATTATGAGAAAGTATGTGTAAATGTAGAATTATCATGGGTGGTTTCCTATCCTGCAATGTATTCCCATATAAGACAAGGAAATCGAACCTTTTACAATGAATGGGTCAAAACCTATATTTTTTATCATGCTAAAGAAGACTGTGAAGTTTTGGCCATATTTATTTAAACAATGCTTGCATTAGTGAGAAACTTGTATTTGCATATTTTTCTTAAGTCTTCTAATGCCTGGTTGGTATTGTGTAGTTTTAAGCATCGCACATGCAGCATTTAGAACAGGACTGAGAAATCAATATGATGCTTACTCGATTGTATTTAAACGCGAGATGTATAATCTGCGATGCGCAAACTAGCAGAGATATATGGTGTGTACGATGGAGCGTCCAGTCATTGATGCTTTCTCGATTAAGAGGTCATCGCCTAGCGAAACCACGTCTTGCCGACATGAAAAAGATCGTTCAAATTCAACGTTATGGTTGGCAAGCCTTGATTTTGATCTCTCTAGGGCTGGGCACACTTGGGTAATCATGAGATCGCAAACATTCGTGGTCAATTCTGAGCATAAAGAACTCTCCACTGATTTACTTCGCTGTGCTAGTAATTGAAGTTACGCGAGCAATTTCATATATATCGTTGGGGTTAAGGATTGGTAGTAACCCGAAGCTTGAGTTATAGCGATCGTTCATGAATAAACTTCAACTGGGTTATGAGTGACCCTTCCAAGCAACGACTTCCAGCAATTTGCGTACAATATATTTTCCATTAAACACTACATCACAACCCCCCCCCCCCCCCATTTCCCTGGGCTTTCCTAAAAGATATTCATTGAAATATACATTATTTATTTCGAAATATATACCCTGTGACATAACAATTTTATACGGCTCAAACTTCTTGAATATCCGAATGTTGACTCACTTCATTGCTTTGATACACTTGTTTCATTGTAGTTTCAAGGAGTAATGAAAACGTAGAGCATTTTTAGGGTAATAAGTTCACCTGGATCTAGCAGCAGTAAGACCCTGATCAGTTCAGTTTGTTTCAATTCAAATGATTTTGGACGCAGCTCTAACTTGAACGTGGATTTACTGGCTTTCAGTTTGCTGAAAGGTCTCTAAAGAAGTTATATATATATATATATGTACCTATATACATCTGATAAAATTGTCGCGAACTACAATACCTAGCGCGATATACACGGCAGACAAACTATGACGAAGTTTGTTATAAAATAGCAATCAAAAAATAGACGTGTAGAGAAACAAGGACTTGGTGGTTTAATTCTATTCGACAATCGGATAACGCTGGCAAATATCTAAGTAAAATCATTTGGGCTACAACCCTATAATTAAAACTAAATACATAATGCAGAGATTGTTGGGGATGAAACTCGAATGAATTTTCATATTAACAATAGCACATATATTGCGGTAGAATAATATATCAAATTCGGTAAATAAGACGAAAATGATCTCCGTGTGAAAATGATCTTACTTCGAATTTAAAATCAAACAAAAATTATTTGGAAGGCGACTCTGAACCACAAAACATTGATTGAGTAGCCTACCAGAAGGTTTGACAATGTTAGTACCGTGCATTATACTATAAAAACAAAATAAAAATAAGTTGTAATTGATTTAACAACGGTGTTATGTTTTAAAATCGAATGCAATATTCATTTACCGGTACAACTAAATGGACTTTCCCAGTGACCACGGAGGTATCCATTTGCACTCGTTGCGGTTTTTATTTGAGAGGTAACCGCTCGCCATTAGCCATACAAACCTCATTTTAATTGAACTAGATGTTGAAGATTTGTCGTCGTCGGGAATCTAGTTCAATCAGTTTTTATCAACGAAGTCGAATATATGCATACAAAAAATATAATAAATATTATGCCTTACAGCCACTTTTTTTGTACACGTTAATTAAACGTTCCCAAAATATTGCAGTAAAATACAAGCGGATCATCGAAATATTATGGTAGACTTGTAGGTATAGTTGATCAATGCACGTGTGATGCAAGGTAACCTTAACCAAGTTTAAAAAAAATACAGACAAGCGAAGCATTCAAATAATCTGAGTCAAAAATGACAAATGTGAGACACCAGTGCTATAGAGATACATCAAATAGTTTAGCAAGGTTTGATTAGGATTTGAAAAAAAAACTGAGAAATTAGGACATTTATAAGTTTATCGTTCAGCTTATTTTATTCAGTTCATTTATATATTGAAGGTTTATATTTAGTTGGGTTCAGATATAAGTGAATAATTATACCTATTTTCCAAGTTAATACTTCCCATTCAATACACAAAATAGTGAAATGAGCTACCAAGCTATTTACAAATTCTATAAGCCGATATCGCAATAGATACATTTCAAATGATTTTCAAGTATGAACATATTGCATTTATTTATTATTTTAATATTGCCGAAAGGATAACATCGCTAAAAGCTACTCAACTATTTCATTTACACGATAAGTTAGGTATATAACGGTTGTTATAATACTTTTATTATTACTTTGATTCGTCAAATTTCAAATGTAGTTTTTTATCAGTGAACATCACGCTTCAAATTGTTGTTGTATGTTCAGAGTTCTCCACACATTGAACACCGAATCTTTTGTGTACCAACATTGTTGTACAAACAAAAGAATCGCAAATCTGACTATATAAACGCTGTTGGATGAAGAAATCACAGCAAACTTTTTAAGCCAGTCCCATGCCGACTATAGTTCTTAAAAACAAAATGTTTACAGAAAAATGATTACAATGTGAAATAAAAATCTCCGCCTTCGTATAGAATAAACTATTGTTTATTGCATCATTGACAGCAATATTAAATGAGCCTGTTCCAAGCACTTTGATATAAAAACAAAACTAAATTCAGAACAAACGACTGAGAAAGGAAAAACATATTCGGATGTCGTATGAGATTCACAGAAGTTTATCTTTTACAAATAAAGTCGTATTGCAGTGGCAAAACAGGAAGGTCAAATCTAAACAACCCGGATAAATATGCGTGAAATGCAAACACTAGAAACTGCAATAGAAATGTCTAATTTTAAATTGATATACCAAGTAAGGTGTAAAGAGATGAGAGTAAATGATGGTGGGAAAGAAAAGAGTTCTAGAAAGATTTTTGTAAGATAGTATTAAAAGTATAAGAATGGAAATACGAACAAAAAAGTCAAGCAGAAGCAAAGAGAAAAGAACTTAGAGAACAGAGTTTGTATAAGAAAATACAGTGAGTCATATACTGTGAATAAGAGCCGTATTGGTAAATATACACATGTTTGATTGACGTTCGGAAGTGTCGTTTGTTCAGGGCCGATTGATAGGGAGATCGAAATATTTGGCTGGAACCCTCAAGTTGTGCACACCCGCTTGATAATCGGAATTACACAACTCATAGAAATAAGGCTTAGAACAGGTTGTTAAAAGGAATGACCGCGTCACTTGAAAACAATTTAGAACTGACGCCAGCGTTCCAAACCAATGGACCAAACCGACATATAGCTATATCGTTAAAACGGCCGGATCAAGTTATATGAAAATTAGAAATATACAAGTACACCTGTGTGAAGATACAACCCGGCGACGACTCCTCGATTCATCGTTCTCACGACAGTTTCTACGTACGCACGATGACAATAAAAATCAGTGTTAAAAATGCCATTTTCACACCAAAATAAAAGCAGTAGGAAACCTACTTCCTGTATTAGATAAGTAACGATTCACTGTATTTTCTCGAGGTAATATCATCGTATGATAATTACATCTACAGTGGTTTTATCATTATAATTCTTTCAGTTTAATCAGCTTCAGTGTTAAATGAAAAATATATTATAGAAACATATATTATAGTGCTACATAATGACGGCAATCCATATTTACATTGTACTAAGTCTGGTCGATGATTCAAGAATATTCATAAATAGTTTTTCGTGTAGTGGACTCTAACCATACTGAATTTAGCTTGAGTTCTTCCAAGTATTAAATGACAACTGAGATGAATTCAAATAATTTTACTATAAAATGAAATAGTTAAAGGGCTACATATCAATGGGGAGTCGTATCTACAACTCTTTGTGGAAAGTCTACTTGATTATTCAAAAATTTTTATAGAAAGTTTTGTATGTACCCAATCTATTAATAAAGTAAAATTAGGATTAGATTACCGGCGATATACTTTCCTTGCGACGACAGTCCCTCAATGGAATTACCACGACGATAAGACTGCGATGAAATTACCGGAATCTCACACACATAAACTCCTTATTGTCCTACAAAGATTTCTTAAAGTTTCATGAACGGATTTGCGACAACATGCGGTAAACTCACGTACATTTACATTTAGATACGTCACCTAGTTGGTTGTTGAAAGTGTTACGAGAAGCAACTAAAAATATGTTACTAAATCAGGAAACCTATTTTTATTTGTAATCAAATATTGCTTGAGACTATGTATGTATAATTCTCGAAAAGAGTCTTCGTATATCAACAAACGTTATTATACCTTCAAACAGTTTGTCCCTGTATTCTGCAAGCCAATATCATATATATTTTATAACAGAAACATTTCTGCTTCTCCGATCACGATTTTGTTGTCAACC